AAAATAATAAATTTTTCATTGTGTTCTATGGAATTGTGGTAAATTTTTGATAATATTAGGCCAAGTTTCTCAACATGTAACACACAACAGAAGGCTATTTCATGGTGCCATGGGACAGTAGCTTCATTATTTTACGTAAAATAACCAATGAAAATTGTCATGTTATTTCGACTAACTTTTTTGAAAATTATGAGTGGGTTTCTACTTAAAACTGACAATGTGACTAATTGGTTTACTCTGCAGGACATGTTCCATAATACGCTACCAGTGAAGGGTGGCATGGGTATGTATTTGCTACAGAAAATGGGATGGAAATACGGTGAGGGGCTTGGAAAGCATAAAGAAGGATCCCTGCTTCCTTTGTGTCTAGACGTTAAAACTGACAGGAAAGGTAAGAGAATACTGTAATTTCAGGGGGGAGAGGGAGGAGAAGTTCAAAATGTTATCTATTAATAAATGAATTAATTTCATATCTTCAAGATGGTCAGTCAGTACAGTTGAAAAATCTTCAGTTATTTTCAATAAAATAGTTACTCTACCTACATGTTTTCATGAAAGATATTGAATAAACTGCGATCAGCTTTATCTTTCATTCAAAACTAATACTTTAAACTCTGTGAAATTTTCAAACAAAGCAGATGTTTAATTTGTTGTCTGTCTTCCACTTGATCACCAGGTCTGGTAGCTTGCGGAGAAACTCAGAAGAAGAAAGCAGCAATCAGTATGCCAGCTCCAATAATGAAAGATCTGTCTGGCAAACATCCAGTCTCTGCCCTGATGGAAATATGTAACAAGAGAAAATGGCCGCCGCCAGAATTCAATTTAGTCCATGACAGTGGCCCAGACCATAAGAAAAATTTTGTTTTCAAGGTAAGGACATGAAGCTCTAATGTTTCAGCAAATCTCACTGCATCTCACTTTTTAACTTTGATTATTAGTACAGTAACCAGGGTGGTAAACTTTTAGTATCATGATTATCAAACGATAATGCAAATGGAAAATTGCAGAATAACAGGAAGTAATATAGAGTCTCATTGTCCATTTATTTTTTATTTAAAATGTTTCTCGATTTGATTGTCGTGTCAGAAATAA